AAGCTGATCCACCAGAAGTTGACTCAGAAACCGATCCCACATCAGTCCTCGAAGTGAGTCAAGATCGGGTAAGTAAAAAAAGTTCAAGTTGGCTCACTTCGTATTTCGGTCTAGTTTCTCGGAGGGGGCAAGTTGGCTCACTTTTTCTGGACTTGGGTTGAGCCAACATTGGATCAGTAGTTGGAGTGGTAAAATTAGTACTTGGACGTGTAAAATTATTACCTGGGATTGTTAGTACTTCTGGTGTCTATCCTCTAATACAGTTGTATAGGGGGTGGGAACTGTATGAGAGCCCTATCTCCTGGTAGGAGTCATTGTCTCACAGAGTCATTATCTCACAGAGGCATTATCTCACACATTCCCCTGGTAGTAGAGGGGGAGTGGAGACTTGGGAGGTCGATCCGAAGGGCCGATCGAGAAAGCCGATTTCGGCTCACCTTCAGGTGAGCCAGAACCCCATTCCCCTATACTGCTCGCACAAAACTGTGAAACAAGTGCCATCATAAACTGAAGGACACTGACTGTTGGACAACATGCGTTTCATTATACTCCTTGCACTTCACCCTCTCTGAGCCTCGCATTGTTATTATTTCTCATGAGAATTTACTTTTTATTTTACTCCGAGATTTTCCCTACGCAGATTTTACAATATCAAAGAAAAGCAAAGAAAGAGTTTGGTTTTCGGCTTGCACAATTCGTTTTTGCAAAGCTTCCCTTTCTGTACTTATCTTTGTTATTTATAACCCACCCAAGTTGGGTGGTGTGCTGCTTTGCCGCTTCGAATTGTAGTTAGACCGCTTTGTCAAATATCATACTCGTCTCGTCATCGTCCAGTAACAATCGACATTCTTTGTTCCGTTGGGACTGAAGCTTTTGCTCGTTTTCGTTGCGCTTGCCTTCCCCTCTTTGGTCTTTCCATAACCTTGAACCTTCCAATTTGGAAGGCTGTCGGCTAGCGCTACGGAGATGTGTTGAAGCTAGGTGTCAGGACGTCGAATGTCTCAGTACTCTCTTAGTTTTGTGCCTAGTTATTACACTTTCTGACTGTATAATTATAGTATCATGTTACAGTGATGGAGAGTTACTCTTAACTCGTATCCATATGTCCTTTTCTCTTCTACATTTATTTATGGCTCAACATGCAAGTTTCAAATTGCACACCTGATGAGCCGTCACGAACCATACGGCGAAACATACGTCGTGTGAAACAACTTGTTTTGTAGTCAACTAGTCCATCACAATGTCATGCATAAGGAGTACTGTAGGCGTTTGGCTTTCGGCTTTTACAATTCGTTTTCGCAAAGCTTCCCATTCTTATCTTTCATATTTATGACCCACCCAAGTTGGGTAGTGTGCTGCTTTGCTGCTTCGAATTGTAGTTAGACCGCTTTGTCAAATATCATACTCGTCTCGTCATCGTCCAGTAACAATCGACATTGTTTGTTCCTTTAGGACTGTAGCTTTTGCTCGTTTTCGTTGCGCTTGCCTTCCCCTCTTTGGTCATTCCATAACCTTGAACCTTCCAAGTTGGAAGGCTGTCGGTTAGCGCTACGGAGATGTGTCGAAGCTAGGTGTCAGGACGTCGAATGTCTCAGTACTCTGTTAGTTTTGTGGCTAGTTATTGCACTTTCTGACTGTATATAGTATCATGTTACAGTGATGGAGAGTTACTCTTAACTCGTATCCATATGTCCTTTTCTCTTCTACATTTATTTTTGGCTAAACATCCGAGTCTTAAATAGTATAATTATGTACCATTTTTTTATTTTCGTTATTCTGTGCACAGCGCTGTACTGTAACGTACCTGTCATTGCCAATGGCACTGCTGACAGAACCGTGGTCCAGTTCACGCACAATGTTACCTATTCTTGCCAAGAGGGTCAGGGGATCGTGGGTGATGCCACACCAAATTGCATGGCTGATGGAAATCTCACTTCAGTGCCCTACTGTGATGGTAAGGGTTCGGATGGATAACAAAGTTAATAGTGAAAAAAGTTATAATTTTATAATACTCCAACTACGACTTTTTTTCTTCAGTTCCAGAGAGTTTCAGCCTTGGAAAATACCCTCACTAGAACAGCCAAAAATAGGGATAATTTCCATTTAAATAGCAATTAATAAAACCAATTGTGCACTCATAACCATCAATACGGGCATCTTTCCATACCCCAATCGGATTCAATACCCAAAAGCTGCCAAATTCGTGCTGGAAAATCGCCGTACGCACTACAAAATTAATGAAAGCTGTTCGGACCACAACTTTAGTTTTCCTTCATCAGGGACAATGACACACGCAATGGGACATAATTGAGATAATTCGCAAATATACATAGTATTTTGTAGTGTTCATCGTAGAGCGCTCCTTTTTTCTGTAGCTGACCGCTATAGACCTGTGCCTGGCGTCACACAGGGCTATGCATGCCCGGACTCTCATGCAACTGAAGGAAATCCTTTACGTCCAAAAAATAATGATTGCCACCCAAGTGCGGAAGTGAAAAATTGCAACGGTACGTAAAATACCTTGCGAGTGCCGTAACTCCACTATTCGACCTTGGATCGACTTCTGATTTGTTGGAGCCGACAGCTGAGACCTTTCGATTGCTCAATTCCGTTCAGGGAAAGCCGAGTTACGAAATATTTGAATGTTTGCAGAACTACAGAGTATTTTATTGTATTGCTTTTATTTTACATCGCAAGTCAAACGGGCAATCAAATTATGATGACGATGGAAAGGGAGAAAAGATTAAGAACAAGATTATTTTATCCTCGATTAGGGCGAGTGAAGAAAAGGGTAAGACTAGGAATCTCTCCTTAGATCATCAACATTGGTCAGGAAAGTCGACTTTCATTGGACGTGAGAGTTGCGATGTGCTAGGTCAGGCCAAAGAGAGGGGAATGCTAGGCTATGAGATTCCGAAGTACATCTATTCTGTGTTTGTTTTATAAATGCATTGGAAATCCAAGGACTATCATCCCCAAATGGAGAAAATCTAAGACAACCTGGATAGGTGGAGTAAAGAAAACATAGTGATGCGGATCCGCTCGAAAGAGAAAGCGCGCGAGAGCGATCGCTCTCCTTTTACCAGATGGTGTGCGGCATGTATTATAACTCTCTTAGTATTGACTCCCATCTATTTTCGCTTTACCTTAGCAGTCAAATATTCCTGCATATTTCACCATTTAGGGTATATTGTAGGGCCGAAACGATTGCCCATTTTGCCTTAACGATTAACCAATAACACTAACGATCGATTTATTGGTTTTACCGATTTTCCGAACAAGTTTTATACGTGTCTTGTTGGACATCAGTATACAGCAAAAACAATTAAATTTGTTCAACTATATACAGGTACGTAAGGGTGAAAGATCCACACAGGCCCCAAAAAGACCAAAATAAAATTTGCAACGTGATATGAGCAGTGTTCCTCTGCCATTAAACATCAACGATCAGTCGTCTGTCATCTACAATGGAGAAGGGTCGACTGGAATCGACAATCCAGTCGATGATCGGCTCCGTCAACATGCCTGAGAGCCTGCTGTCGCACGTTCGCAAGTTATCTGTGCCGAAGAACGACGTGATGGGCTTCATTCCAGCACTGTTCGTCGCATTGTCACTGCGCTCAACATTGCTGGTAGTCGCCGTTGCTGTCGACCGGGTTGCTGATCCTTTCCCTACCGCAGCGGCGTACTGGTCTTTAAGAGCAGAAATCAGGTGCTGGAACAAGTTGGTTGTGCCGCTTTGATGGACGAACTCGCGGCTGCACGAATTGCATCTCGCTACGCTATCAGCTTCGTCGAAATATGCCCACGCTGGCGATCTCTTGGTCAGACTAAATTTCGCTTTTCCAGGCGGCAGCATTGTCACTGCTCTCCTTGCCAAAAAAATCAAAACTAACTAAGTTTTTGACAAGAACTGAACAAATTAGAAGGACGGCAGCCACACTCACAGTTTCGCTACAACCTAACAGTAATGAAGCTTTCCGGTTGTTACATTTTCCGGCCACGCTGACTAGTGCAGTGAATGTAGTGACTATGTACGACTACCCAAAAAGGATCAAGCGCGCAATGATTGTACGGACCTACTGCTTCATGCACGTCTACTTCGACGTTCATGTACTTGTGCGCATGACGCGCGTGCATGATACCATGCATGGTCTGCATGCACTGAAGTCATGACCGCTCTGTACAGTCATAATCGTTATCGATCATAACGATTATCGATTTCATCCATAACGAGTGATATTCGAGTAATCAGTATAATCGTTTCGGCCCTAGTATATTGACTGCTGATGTTTGACTGCTTAAGGATTGCACAGTTGAACGGTACCTAGTGCAGCATGGTCACTGTATGAGTAGGTGATGGTGCAACGGTTGTGCTATCCCCAAACCGGGAATCGTGAGGTAATCGTTCTGGAATTTGAAATACGGACTCTCTGTCGTGATAAATCAGATATTGACTTCGTACTTGGTCAGTATAGGAAATAAAAACCTCGTAAAAGACCTCGGTGTGCACACGTCAGGCAGTTTCTTGGGATCGGGAGAGCTTGATTTGACTAAATTTGACTGACACTGCACAAGAGGTAAATAATTATTGTTCTTGCTGTGAACTGAAAGAAGACGACGACTAAAACGCAAGACGCTTGCGCAGAGAAAAAGGAGGAAAAAACATGGAGGACGTCGCTAAGAGGTGAGTGAGTCAGTCGAAATAATAAACACGCGGCCCAGCTTCGGTGTGGGAACGCGGAAACAAAACCGGGGTAGAGAACACAAACTATGACGTGTACTGCAAATAATCTCATGACGTTGAACATCATGTCGACGTCGTGACACTCCCCCGCAAGAGATGCAGAGAAAAGGAGATAATTCGTAACAAAGTAACGTGGAAACAAAACACAATAAGTGCATATAACATACGCAAGGGTGAAAGAGAGTAGACCGTCACAGAGAGAGAGAGAAAGAGAGAGTTCAGATGTGAACTACCAACTGTCTAGCTGATTCAACTAAACAAGTTCGCTGCCAATTAATTGGCGAAGCGTCTGACGTTGCTTCTTAGCGGCAGCACGTTGTGGACGACTGGGTGGAGCAACAGCTGCTGGAACTGGCAGATCGGCTTGGCCAGTGGTGTGTGTGTCCAGAGCGGTGCTGTTGTTATTAGCCTCGGAGTTAGCAGCAGGACAGATAGGGTACAGGAGAGACAGGGGTCGTTTGAGCTCTGTCTTCTCTGCAGTGATGACGGTTGCGGAACGTATCTCCATGTCCTTGCTTGTATGGAGAGCGACAATGCGAGCAAGTCGCCATGAGCCACGGGGCATGTCATCCCTTATTAGTACAACATCGTCAACGGCTGGCTGTTCTGAAGCGGTAACGCGTGCCTGTCGGAGCTTCCGAGTGTGACTGTTGCGGAGATCAGCCAAGTAGTCGTCTCGCCAGACACGCCAGAACTGGTCCAATGTTCGTTGACCCTTCTTCCAGACAGAGAGAAGATTCTGAGCTGCAGTCGGAACTTCGATGTGGTCCGGATCGCCGTCATCAGCAGTGGGTTGCACGCCACCAGTAGTTGCGGACAGGCACAGAAAATGACTTGGGGTGAGTATCTCCTGCAAGTCATTGTCCACGTACACCAGTGGACGCGAGTTGACGACTGCTGACACTTCCATGAGAATGGTAGTCAGTTGCGACACAGTGAGGAGCGCGCGGCCAACGACCTTCTTCAGGCTTCGTTTGACTGTTCCAACGAGACGCTCGTAGAAACCACCCATCCAAGGTAAGATCGGTGGGTTATAGTGCCACTTCACACCAGCCCTCGACATGTACGACAGGACATCATCACTCGTTGCCATTTCTTCAAAGGCCACATCCAGAACAGACTTAGCTAGGATGAATTGTGGCGCGTTGTCAGACACTACCTCTTCAGGGCAACCACGCAACGACACGAACCTGCGGAACGCTAGCAGGAATTCCTCTGTGGTCATGTCTGCCACCAGTTCTAGATGGACAGCTCTAGTTGCCATACATGTCACTAGGAGGACCCATACCTTCTTGGTACTTGGCTGGTGCTTGACGAGCAGAGGACCGAAGTAATCTAGTCCCACATGGGTGAACGGGATAGATCTTGTTGCGCGGGCAGATGGAAGCGGGGCCATATCTGGGGTGCGGTATGGACCACCGTGGTGCTTCCGGCAAGTCAGGCACTTAGTGATGAATGACTTCACTGTTGCACGCCCTCGTGGTAACCAGTACTCATAACGCAGTCTTGATAGCGTGTGTGCAACGCCGCCATGCATCGTCATCAGGTGACAATCGTTGATGATGAGCTGGGTGATGGGATGCGTTTGGGGAATCAGTACTGGATACTTTGCTTGATAGCAAAGTTCGGCGTTCTCCAAGCGTCCTCTGCATCTGATGAGGCGGTTCTCATCGATGAAGAGCCGCAGCTTGTCCTTCGGGCTGTGCTTCTTACAATTTTCGACAGCACTGACGTCTGACAGATTCTGTTGTGCATGGTGTAGCCACATGATTTTGGCTACCTTGACCTCTGAGTTACAACTAGAATCCACCCCGAAAGACTTGACGCCTTGTGGTCTCAACCTGGAGAGAAACCGCAAACACAGAGCAGAAACACGCACCAAGGCACTGAAAGACGAAAACCTGGCACAGTCAATACCAAATGGTGGTTCATCACATGTTTGTTTTTTTTGTTCGTGATGCGCATCAGGCTTTTTTTCATTTCGTGTGCAAGCTCAGTGTCTGGACCGGTGGACTCTGTTGGGTGTGATACAGGTGCAGGTATCTCCGAAGTGCTTGAAGGACCCTCCCCAGCGGCAACGTTGACATGGTGATCAAGTGCTGGCTCGGCGTGATGGTCAGCAGTGGCAAGGAAGTGTGGACCGTGCCACCATAGCGAGCTGGCTTGAATGGAAGGAACAGAGACACCGCGTGAAGGCAAGTCGGCGGGACTGTCGGCAGAGCGGACATAGCGAAAGGCAACATCGGGAACCGCACGAATGGCATCAATACGGTTGTTGACGAAGACAGGTAGTTTGTCAGAAGAGGCCAGCCAATGGAGAACTGTGGTGGAGTCTGACCATAGATAGGTAGAGGAGAAAGTGAGCGGAAGTTCCCGACGGACGAATTGGATCAGACGAACACCGAGAAGCGCGGCCATTAATTCCAGACGTGGAATGGTAGGTGAAGCAACAGGTGCAACACGGGACTTGCTGATTAGAAGGTTCGACGTGTGTTGATCGTCAAACGTAGTAGTACGGTAAGCAACGGCACCGTACACCAGCCCAGATGCGTCGCTGAAGACGTGGAGAGAAAACTGAGCGTCGCTGGCACGTGGTGCACTGATGAATCGTGGACATTTCGTTGATGCAGCAAGTTCAAGTTGAGCCGCAATATCACACCATCTACAAATGATGTCTTGTGGAAGGTCGTCGTCCCAGCCGACGGTCAGCTTCCAAAGATCCTGAAGCAGAATCTTCGCACCAACAAGAACAGGAGACTGGAGACCAAGGGGGTCAAAGAATTGGGCAGTATGTCGAAGGATACTCCGCTTTGTTGTGACCGACTTGGATACGGCACTGACAGGTGCAATATGTGGAGTATCATGTTCTGTATCCCACAGCATACCGAGGCACTTGTGGATAGTACCCTTGGCTCGGTCTGGTTCTGGAATGCTGCTAAGAAACTCTGCAGAATTACTAGACCACTCGCGAACATTCATAGACGCGACACTGAAGAGGCGCTTCGTGGCATCATAGATAGCAATCGCCTCCGTCCCAGAGTTGGCACCAAGGAACAGGTTGTCAACGTAAATATTGCGAGACACTAGGTCGGAATCTGTTGTATCAGCAGCGCTAAGATGATGCTGAATAGTGGCAGCCAAGAGATATGGACTGCTGACAACGCCAAACGGAACACGACAGAAACGAAGTTGTCGTATGTTGTCTGGAGTAGCTGAGCTGGATGCATCGTGCAGCCATAGGAAGCGGGTCACGTCACGATCATGTGAGTGCAGACCAATCTGCAGAAAGGCCTTTTCTACGTCTCCACTTATGGCTACCGGAGAAAGACGAAAACGAAGAAGAATACCGCAAAGGTCTGGAACAAGATTGGGACCAGCGTGCAAGCAGTCGTTGAGACTGGCGAGTTTTTCGGAACATTTTGCGGACGCATCATACACCACCCTCAGCTTCGTGGTAGTAGCAGTAGGTTTGAGTACTGAATGGTGTGGAAGGTAGTGAATCTGGTTGGTTGTAAAACCACGAGGAACATCTTCTATCATGCCCCTGTCAAGCTGGTCTTGAATCACGTTATCGTACCGGTCAAGAAGTTCCGGAAGGGCTTCGAGGCGACGCACTTGTGCCTTCAGGCGACCGACAGCCAGACCATAGTTTGTCGGAAGAGGAGGATGTGAGTCCCTCCAGGGCCAACTCACCGCGTACCGACCCTCGGCAAAGGAGATGGAGTTGGCGAAGCGCTCGCCCACAAGATCTTGCGACGACGTATCGTCAAAAGTAACCAAGGTCTCTGTCGACCAGAACTTACGGAGGTCGAATTCAGGGTCCGTGTCTGTTTGATGAGCAAGACATGACTGCGCCCCTGTGGTGGCAGGCACAGGCAGACTGCCGGTACAGATAAAACCAAGAACGGAGTCGAGCAGGACCAGACCACCGCTTAGTTCGGTGCGGTCCTTGCCGATAATATCATAGTAGTGATCGAGACCAATCAAGACGTCTACGACCATGGGCTCTGCGCTGCTCGAGAGCGGTTCTGCAAGTGGCAGAGACTGTAGAAGAGGAAAAGAAGAAGCAAGTGGACATCGCGCAATTGGAGCGGTTATGTTCGGAAGTACACTGGCCTGAATCGCACGAGTGGACCCATCCTTACACTGCATGGTCAAACTCACCTTGGCGTACACGGTACTTTTTCTTTTGTTGTTCCCAAATGTAGCCAAGGGGAGTGTTTCATTTCCGATTGTGGGCAAATCGAGCTGATCTCGATAAGATTGCGTGATGTATGTCTTGGTGGAGCCGGTATCAAAGAGAATACGGCCATTGATCGGCTTCAACTTGGAGGAGAGAAACGGTGCCACAGCAGTTTGCATCATGATCTGGTGATCGGCGTTTGCGACCGTGCTCGTGGCAGGCTTGGGTTTGAAGGACTGAGCATTCGGGCTCATAGTGGAAGCTTGCCTCTGAGTGGATGCAGCAGTGAATTTATCTGGACACAAGCTGCTGTGATGTGCAGGATTGTGGCAATAGAAACACCACCGTTTGCTAGAGCAATCGTGCACGGAGTGGCCTGATCGCAAACACTTGAAACACCTTTGTTTAGCTACGCTCTTCCTCGCTTCTACTGTAGTGTACTTATTGCATTCGTCAGAGAAATGTGCCTCCGAACTGCAAAAAACACACACTCTCTTGGGCTTCGCTTTTGAAGTAGCTGAAGCTGAGGCAACAAGAGATTGACCGGAGGCACTGGCAGATGGTGATTCGTGCGATTTTTTCGGTGGCTGGCTGAGGCGATCTGCTGCTTCATTCGCTTTTATGAAGTTGGCTACTGCGGAGCGCAAGTCCGAAACGGTCCAGGATTGTGGGCCCTTTTTTTAATTCCAAAGCCGCTAGCGTGGTGCGTGGCAATTTGTTCGTAATCATTGACACAAACACCGCCTGATTAACATTCTCACCAAGCGCTGTGAGGCTTCGCAAGTGCACCTCCAACGCATCGTGCAACCTACGCAAAGATGGAGTAGCGTTGGACGCAGGCGGTAAGTCCATGATTGCCGTGTAGTGTGCATTGACACGAAGCTGATCATTCCCGAAACGTTTGCGGAGAATGTCAAGCGCGGTTGTGTAGTTGGTTTCTGATATGGGCAAGCCAGCTATGGCATCCCGAGCCAAACCCCTTACGTGATCTCTTAGGTACGACAGTTTCTGGACACCCGACAACCCTTGATTCGCATCAATAGACGCAACAAACATATCGTGAAACTCAGCCCATTTCAGGAAATCACCAGAAAATGTTGGTATTTCAAATTTGGGCAATTTGACTGAACTTGTGGGAGCTGGTTGTGGTTGAGGTGATGATGCTTGCATTTGTTGTACGACTAGTTGGTGTTGTTTGATTAGATCCTCTTGCGACTGTAATACTTGCTGGTGTTGACTATGTGTAATAGACTGCGTACGAACAAGATCTCCTATTGACTGTTGGATGCTGGACAAATCAACGCTTGCATTCAACAATTGACCCTCTGATGCGTACCGAATACGCAACCACATCGCAGATCTCCGTTTGCAGAGCCTCATCTGAACCCTCCAGAGTCTCCGAGTCCAAAACACTGGCCAATGCATCACACGCCTCATCATATGCGTACAAATCTTCAACAATACAATCCACAAGTGTACTTAGCTTTTTTGGATCCGAGTCCACGTGTTCTGGCGACAACTCGTCGGCCCCTTGACCTCCTTCCTTCGATGAAAGGAGTTCGGCCTCTTTGACGAGTTCGTCGATGGATCCTTGCAGCTGCGCGATCTTGGCCCGGCGCATGATCTGCGTGCCGGTCGTCACTGCTTTCTTCGGCATGTTAGGTCGACGACCCAAATCGGGCAAGCTGCTGACAAATTATTTGAGTCGAGTCTATCTTTCTCAAGATTGGAATGGTAGATCTACGCACGGCTCGTTTCGAGCGCAGAGAAAAAGGAGGAAAAACATGGAGGACGTCGCTAAGAGGTGAGTGAGTCAGTAGAAATAATAAACACGCGGCCCAGCTTCGGTGTGGGAACGCGGAAACAAAACCGGGGTAGAGAACACAAACTATGACGTGTACTGCAAATAATCTCATGACGTTGAACATCATGTCAACGTCGTGACACTCCGCTTCGCCTCGGTCTTTTACTCGCCTATATTTCCTATACTGACCTCAGACTCAGTCAATATTAGATATACGTCTTATTAAAATGAAAAATTCCAGAAGGTTTTCTCGTGACCATCATCAGTGCAACATCCGCACATAATAAGAATCACAAAACAACCATTTATGTGTGTAGAATGATATAATAAGGAGTGTGAGAATGCAGCAGCTTGTGGTTATGAACAACGCGGGTAGTGTGAACTCATGCAGTTGATCTGAGGATGGTAGCAGTAGATGAATGTTGCAGCTGTGGGTGGGTGTGGACGAAAATCGTGAGTGCGTTTTATTTGAAGAGTGTGAGTGCTACAACATTTTCTTTTTGCGTGAATAGCACTGGGTCACGTGTACGAATGTATACAGCGTCCAACACCTGTAGCTGCTTAAAGAAACGTGCGCAACAATTAACACTAAACCAGGTATCGCCAAACAACTTACTTCGAAGTACGACAATCTGGACTTGACACCAAATGTTTGTAGTGGCAGACGTCTTCTTGTCAATATCGAACGCGTCCTCATCAGTATCACTCTCATCCCTCACTACCGGATCCTGCTCAACCTTGCTGTCCTCAATAATTTCTATTCTTCTTTTTTTTTCTTCTTTCGACCTTATGTCCAGTTCTCAATTGCAGTGTATCTGCTATACAATTTGGAATGATTATTTCTTCACTCAGGCTACGTACTGGCATGAGTGACGCGCCCCGTCGAATGTGAACTAGGCTTAACATTGTTCTTGTTGTCCTTTTTCTGCTTGCAGTTCCCGAATGCAGTGTACCTGCTATAAGCCTTATGCACGTTGTACAGATGCTCGAAACCCTGTAGAATCTCGTAGAATCCCGTAGACCGGGTTGGATGTTGAATGTGCAGGACCCTAGTGTGTTTAATGCTATTTCCCCCAAGAAATGGGCCCTGAAGGGATTCCATACGAGGCACCGGAAATTTGATGCTGGCACAAGCTAAAAGTCACCACTAATTAGATTTTGAAGTGAAACCAACAGCAAGAAAGAAAGAGAAAGTTCAGGCTAAGCATGCCCAAATCTATGCGCTGGCAGTGTGAGTGCAGTGCGCAATGCACTGATGCAGCGGTGCGTGGCAGATGCCAGCATGGCAGTGTGATCGGTGGATGCAAACACACACTAACTACATTACTGCAACATAAAAAGGAAGATAGAGCTGTACAGGTCAGAAAGATGCAAAAAACCCAAGGCTTAACACGAGCGAGTGTGGGGGAGAAACTATCACAGCATCATACTATTCATTGGAAATCGACTGCCCAGAGCCAGTTTGTGCTGCGAAGATGGCGATAAACATTCGTTTTGATTGGTTACCTTCTCTTGCTGTGGGGAGGCTGGGACAGGAGAGTGGCAGGGAGGGAGTTCCAATCGCTCATGCTGCAGTGTGCGAACGAGCGTTTCAGTGCCAGCGGGGCAGATGCAGGCAGCTGGTGTTGGAGCGGGTGGTCAGGGCCATTGACACTACCGTATTCGCTGCGGGTTTTAGGGTTGGTAGGCAACACACAGAGCAGTTGCGGAGGACCAGGCAAGTAGTGCAGCTTTTACAGGTAGGATCTATTTTTGCAACAAGGGTTTTCTGCTTGAGGGTGATAGCACACCAAATTGCACCATCAGAAACAAGCTTAGTTCGGTACCAATCTGCATTCTTTTAAAAAGTATTGCCAGGACGTTTCGGGTATGTAAATAATTGACGGGGATGTAACAGTTCTATTTAAAATAGCAATGAACGAACAAATCCCACCGTCATGATTCCTTTTTTTGTTTTTATTTTTCTATAAGAAAGTCCACTATATTCCCGAATATGTACGAGAAGTGGTGGCAGGGCCAGGCTGCTCTGCCGACCTTGAAGGTCTCAACGTCTACACAGACAAAACGTTCTATAATGTAGTAGAACCATAGAAAATCCCCATGGAATTGGGATAATTTATTTTCTTGTTCTTCTTCTCTATTGACCTTATGTCCAGCTCTCAATTGCAGTGTACCAGTTATACAATTTGGTATGAGTATGAGTAATGCTTCACTCGTTAAATATGGTGCTGCTGTTCAGTTCACATGTCTGCATACATACTTTATGTTGGGGAATTCATCAGCTACGTGCAACGGTGATGGTACATTGAGCTCAGTGCCAATATGTTATAGTAAGTGTAAAATACTTTCTTTC